GATTTTAACGATGACTTGTTCATTTATCGCTGCTTAATAGTTCATATGAATTTGATATTATTTGGTGGTTTGTTTAAATTGCATTGTCTGTACCTCAAGCTATATCTTTATAATTTGCTGTCTGTGATTAAATTATTTTTGTCGCATTTCCCTTTCTTGGCGTTTACCACACCAATATTTACATATAAATTATACATATGTATGTATGTATATAATATATATCAATATTTTTCTAACAACGATAATGATAATTTTCGATTATAAAAAAGTTAATTTCCATATTAAGCACACGCACAAACCCACACATATATAAATATAGTATGTAAATGTATATTTGACAAGCACTGTAATTTTCATGGCTGATTGCATTTCAATCTCACTCGACAGTTTGAAAGTAATTGCATATACAGACATGTATGTATGGAAAATTAATAAGATGAAATTTACATACGCACATACATTTATATATACATATATTCACATAAATGTATATATACCGTTATATATTGCATGTAATTCCGTGTAATTCAATTGAACCTAATCGTAATTCTATGCAATCTCGTTTCTATCGAATTAATGCAAAGCAATTAGATTAGATAACAATTTAAAATGATTAGATATGCCTGCAATTGAGTGGAATACTAAGAGCTGAACTAAATTTAATCACACATAATGTACATACTCAGAAATAAAAAATAATAATAAAACAAAAAATAAATTAAATGAATAAATATTTTATTTTAAGGTTGCGATAAAAATTGTTATTTAAATTTATAAAAATTTTAAATTTCAATTTCAAGCTTTCGCATATTAGAAAATGCTCACTGTGCTTCGCCCTATTGCCAACTATCTTTGATTTGGCAAACACGAAACAAGATCATAAAAGAAAATAGAAAATTTGTTGTCCATCACTGGCATAAGTGTCGAGCTATTGATTATAAGTGCAGCTATAAGCACACATAAATATATATAATGTATATAATGTAGTTTTCTCATCTGTTTGCATCTGAGCGCTTTATAACCAAAGCAAATACAGTTGACAACTGACGACAACAGCAGCGAAACCAATACACACCCTCTCTCACCTCACTCACACTCACACACACACAGTCATCGTGTGAGTGCGCTCTCTTATACTAATGCATTTTGATACTGGCCTTGAACGTGAGTTGCATTTCGTCGCAAGCAAAAACAACAAAAAAAGCTCTAAATCTGATAGAGCGGGGCAGCGTGCCTATGGCGAAGAAGATAGAGTGTGACAGCAAGGCAGCGCAAGAAATGTGTACCAAAGCAAAAAGCTGTAAGTATATACAATCACACACACACACATACGCGCGCAAACAAACAAACAGACCAAAAGCAAAAGCAGAAAACGAAATGCAAGCCGTCCGCCTGCATTTCCCGCTCTGTCATATTAGGGCTCTCTTTCTTTCTCTCTCTCTCTCTCTCTCTCTCTCTCTCTCTCTCTCTCTCTCTCTCTCTCTCGTGCTGTAGTACCAACTAAAATTCAAAGCAGTCTCAAGGTTATCGCACACTCTCACACACACATGTACATATGTAGTATGTATATGGGTACTTGCATATGTATGTACATATGCATATACATAAGCACACTCTCTCTCTTGCACTCAGCTGCGCAATGTCTAGCTGTGCGCTAGGCAGTTATTGAGGTTTTTCCCTTCTTTTTTTTGGAAATTTTATAAGCTCAAAAACTTTCCAATTGCATTGCCCAGTGATCCAAGTCGCTAAATTAAAAAGCATAAATTCTTAGATAAATTTACTTTTCGCCTCATGCCATAATTCGTTTTGCTTTTTCGCCGCATGCATTCACATGCATCTTTATAACAGTTTCCTTATAACAGCTGTTGTGGATGTGAAGTACTCTGACGAACTACATACATAATTCAAATCTAGAACAGTTGTTATATGTTTTATCTCTTACTAATTTTTCACATTTACCTTTGATTTTCTATAAATAGCCATTAGCTACTTCGTAAGCGTCCCGGTTCTTTTCAATTTGCAACCTGACTAATTTACAGCTGATTTCATTTTTGTGACAACGACGGTAATTAAAGCTACATTTCATTAATATACTCTTACGTCTAATGAAATTGTAACAGTTTTTCTGACTTTAAGCCATGTTACTGAACTTGCAACGTTGCTGACGTTGTCAATTGACGTACATACATAAGTGACGAGGGACTGCAGTCGTTAGCAATGGATGGGGTGTGTACATATGTATGTGTATATGTACATACATACATATGTGCATGCATAGATACGTATTTATGTACATACGCCCACACACTCACACACACACAGCCAAAACGCACACAGTGGCATATAAAATGGTAAAGTTGAGAGTGTACGAAACTCGATAAATTCTATTTGTCAAGTGCGGCAAGGGTCGAATGAAATCGAAATTACTTTTATTCCAATATCCAGAGCTTCACACACACTCATGCATAGGCGTGTAAATGCAATACAAAAACATACAATATGTTTGCCGTTAGCTTTGGCAGCATTGCATAAAAAGCGCCCTACCGTTTGCCATATGCGAAAGTGAGAAACATGAAAGCGAAATTTCTGGCACGAATTCCAATTGTCGACTGTAGACAATAGGTCTCACTCGTTGCAATAGCGATGATTCATCGTGAGAGAGCAAAGTTTTCGTTGAGAGACGTAGCGATAGAGAGAGTCCGTGTATCATTTTATAGCTATTTAAAGCACAAATACAAGCGCATGGAGGTGGCCCGCCCCCATGCTTCTCAGCTGCATCTGCAGCGTAAGAGCTTTTTTTCAAATTCAGGTTGTTGTTGCCTGTGTTTGCTATTTCGTTCGCTCGCCTGCTCACTCGCTCATTCGCTGTTCGCCACTTTTCGCTGCGTTTCATTCCCATCGTTGCGAACAATATACTTACATAGGTTCGCATGCATGTACATACATACATATATACAAACAGCACAGCACAATCCTTGTAGCATTTGTTTCAAGTTCACTGTCAAGGTCACCTACTCTTGACATGCGCTGCGACGGCAAAGGGCGAATTTGCAGCAGCAGCAACAGCAGCTTACACTGCTTGCGAAATGTATGCAGCTAGCGGCCCCTCTCTTCTTTGCCCTCTTCGCGTTCACTGCACAACGAATGCTCCTGCGCTGGCCGAGTTACTATTTCATCACGTTCGCAATTGCGCTTTTTTTATTTCACTTCAATTTCAACGTATACACAATTTATAATAGATATGAAAATAGTCAATATGGACGTTCTGTATATAGATGTGGTTATGTATGTATGTATTTATCTACATATGTACATATATTCGATCTTATTTATATATGTACATATGTATGCATGTGCATATGTATATTTCATAGGGCTGAGCCAAGTTTACCGCTTTTAGCACTTTGTATACAAAATTAAAATCGTTTTAATGCCAATTCTTTAATAGTAAACAAAATATTTTCGCATAAACTCTGAGCAGGAAAGTTCACATCTTGCCCGATGTGCCGTAAAATTAAGTTTTTATCATAATAATCGAAACCGCCGTTTGAAAATGGGAAATATCCCAATTATTACATGATCACAGTGGATCTAAGCAAGCAATGCACACCTGGTCACAAAAATAAAAACAACAACATATACAAGTAATCCCATTTAATTATATTTAAAGATCTTTAGATAGATTGAAGTAAAAAATGATTCAGTGCCTTTAATGAAATCGGGGCTCGATATATCAAATAATGATTGACTGACTGCTCGAGCAATACCACTCAACGCATACCAAAACTTTTGCACTTCACTATACAATTGCGGATGAGTTTGTTTATCCCAAACAGAGAAGTGCAGCTGGCCTATTCAAGCGTACATCTGCGGCTGTAGTTTTAGCAGTAGCTATAAATGGACATATATGAGATTATATAAATGCATGTTTGAGTGTGAGTGTGCGTGTGTGTATCTGGGTACCCTTAATAAGACTGCGCTGAGCATGACATAAGAAAGCAGCGCAGCAGCAGTGACAGATGAGGAAATTTATAAAACGAAAGGCTTGCAAATATCATCTGTTGCACAAACACAAACAGGTGCACATTCACATTCAGATACACAGATACAGGTAAACATGTGTACGTAGGTACAAAGATACAAACTGAGATACATACATAGATAGATACAGATAAAACTATACAAGTATTTAACTATACAAATGCATATGCATATGTATCTCTATACATAGTTCAATTCAGATACAGATATAGTCACAGGTTTAGAGACAAATACTTATAAATGTGTATATAGACATATAGATACAGATACAGATACAGATACAGATACAGATACAAATGAGTATATATTGATACACATACAGATCCAGATGAAGATACAGATATAGCCACAGGTATTCATACAGATACAAACACAGACACAGTTATGAAAACATATAAAGACCTAGATACAGTATATATGTATATGAAGACCCACATTCAGGTTGATATACTTTGCTTTCCGATACAAACAGTGCAGTTGAAGCATTTAATTAAATTAAACAATTAAACAAACAAGTCAAAGAGCGTGGCGCACTTAAATACATGCATACACCTACATACGTGCAAATACATACTTTTATATATATAAGTGCATACATACGTGCCTAACTGTATTCACTCATACAGCAACAAGCCCAAACCAATTCAATTAAGCAATTCAAAGGGGATGTAGGTGGTGGGGGTCAAAGAGTAAAGACGCTCGCAAATTGCAACACACGCACATTTATCTGTAGGATAAATATACATACATAAATATGTGTGTCTCTGCTAATTGTTGTTGCTGTTGCAGTTAGTCAGTAAATGCGCTAATTATATACTAGTTGCAACCCGGTTAGCCCAGGCCTGGGCGCGCACTGTGCGCACATTTTACTTACATACATATGTATGTATATACAATACCTAGTACATGTGCATTCACACACGTATGTATAAATACATACATTTGTGTATAACAGTAACTAAGGCGCGGTCAGGGTAGACTGCACAAGCTAACAGCAGCAGCAGCAGCAACAGCAACAACGACGCTGTGTGTGAGATCAGCGGCGAATTGAAAGCGTTGGAGCAGCCGCAGAGGCAACAGCTTCCTCTTTATATGCACCCGTCTCCATATATGTACGTAGATATATATGCGATTGTGTATGTGAATATTTTTATATGTATGGATGCCTCATGCTCTTCAGCTTCTACGCTCTTGCATGTGGTTTATTGCATAACATCCTTGAACTTGAACCGAGCTTTGGGTCGCTTTTCGCACTGGCTGCGCTCTAACTGACTCAGCGAGGCATACACACGCACACAAATGCACATTCAATTTCGCCGTAGCTGAAATTTTTTAAGAATCGCCGCAAAAGCATTCGGCTACACGAAGCTTAACGAGCCGACAGTAGCCAGCAGCGAATGACGGCGACGTCGCGTCGTCGAAGGCTTGTTTAGCGGGCCATTTTTGCTGCGCTTGGCATTGAAAGCGCGACAGGCGAGCAGCGAACAACGTACCATTCCCAAACAGTCTCACACAATAATCGCTGCACACTGGCAACAGGAGTCAAATACTATATAAAAAATAATATATAAAAGAAATTGGTTTCGATTTTTAATAAATATTTATAATTATATCTAATTATATTAATTATGCAAATGACATCAATTGAAATTGCCAGAAATGAAAAAAAAAAAAAATAATAATAATAATAATAATAGAAAAAAAAAAAAAAACTATTAAATAGCAGTATAAATAAAAACAATAATAAATTAATTGTGCAAATCAAAAAACAAAACAAAATTTGAGAAGTGCTCAAAAGTAAAGAACAAATCCCAAACAAAAATTTAAATTTAAGCTTAAAGTATTATATATATATTAAAAAAAAAAAAAGTGCAATAAAATGTCTATATCAATATTTTATTTGAATTTCTTCTGCGAATATTACGTGTCAATCATGTGATTCTGTTCTGCTTTACTATACAAACAAAAATTTTAATTAAGCATGGAAATAAAATGTCAGTGAAAATAAAATGAAAAAAGAATAAAGATTGCATCATCCGAAGAGGTGTCAGCCAAATGTAAAGGATAGGAAGGGAAAGAAAGAAGATTCATGCCATTGCTGGTAGGTAAGAAGGTATTTATTTTTAATACAAATTAAACTATTTCTATATCGATATATTTATCTTGATTAATTATATATCAATAATCTATCAAAGCGCAACAGGCGAATAATTTTTATTTATCTAAAATATATGCCAATTTCTCATTAGAGAAGTATACAAAAAATAAAACTTTTGTGAGGTTATTTTATTTTAGCTAGTTACTTTTATTATTATTATTATCTTATTTTATTTTTTATTTTATTGTTATTTTAATTTAATTTTATTTATTTACCTTATTATTATTATTTTTATTATTTATTTATTTATTTATTTATTTTTTTTTTTAAATAAAAAATAGCAAATGTGTAATATTCCCACCGCCTAATTTCTGTATATTTTACACATATGCATATACATCTACTAAAGCCAAATAAAAACAATAAATTTACTAGTTTTGATCAGAAAAAGCCCATTGTACATTAAATTCGCTGCATTTCTTGCGCTCAGTGTTTGGAAGTGTTCTTGGTGTGTGTGTGTGTGTGTGTCTAAGTATGTATGTATTCGTGTATTATTTTTGTTCTGGAACGAAAGCGAATTGAAACAAGTCATGTTTTCATGCCCCATGCATACACACATATGTAGTTACTAATATATATATGTACATACATGTGCACATATGTACATATGTATGTATGTATTTATTATTTAAGTAGTAATAGATCCTGTAGTAGTGCGAATAGAATTCGCGCAGACAGGGCAATATAAATCGTGCGCTGCAATAGCAAACGAAACGGTCGCAAAGAGCAAAAGTAAAGCTCAATACGTGCACACCATCATAGATGAATATGTTATTGCTGAAACATAAAAACAAAAAACTATATTTTTGGTTGCGGAGCGCAAAAGCCCCAACCAGAGCAAAAAACACTAACACATCAACAACAGCGCGCACAAGCACACGGATAAAAATACATACATACATAAATACATTCGCGCGAGCAAAGAATGCTACAGAACTTTCAAACATTGCGCAAGGGACAAGTAGAATACATGAATGAAAGAACGGCAATGGCAGAGAGTGTGTGTGACGGAGAGGGAGAAGGAGAGAGAGAAAGATAGAGAGAGAGAGAGGAAGATAGAGAGAATGAGTGAGAGCGTGAATGAGAGAACGAAATGCGGCTGAAGGCCACGACGTGTTGTGTGGAAACGATGGCAGCGATGGTAGCATCGGTGTGTGGGGCAGTAGGGCAACTATGATGGTGTGGAAGAACAACAGGAACAGGAAGAAACGTCAAAAACTTAACGAAACATAGCTGCAAGTGTGAGTGAACGTGCGACGGAGAGCGAATGCTAGAAGCTAGAAGCGACATACACACACACACGAAAGCATCGCGGCTTCCATGAGGCCTGCGTCTAACGGCGACGACATTGAGCGGTGGCACCTTTAACCGATCGCAGCACAGCGCAGTTCCTGTTTGAGTGTCCGCGTGTCCGTTGCGTAGCTTGTGTGCGGAATGCGGAAATAAAAGCCAGTTAAAATTCGGTATAAATACATACATATATGTATGTGAGTTTGTTTCGTATGCATATTGCGTCGTGCTTGTGGTCCTGCCACGCAAAATGCCGCAAGCAACCCTCGTTTAAGCCGTTAGCGACAAAAGCCCAAAAATAAAAACAAAAAACACAAAATCTGAGCTGAGAGATGTGAAGAATGTAGCAATGAGTGTGAGTAAACTGAATTGCGTCGTAGTTACGCTTTTTTCTTTCTATTCATACATTTTGTTTTCGCTGCGATAACTGTTCTGGCTAGTGTTGTTATTGTTGTGCGAGAGAGACAATTGTTAAAAGAAAAGCTTGCAAACATTTTGAATACTGCACACATTCACCCATATTTACATATGTATGTATTTGTACCTAAGTACACACATATGTATGTATCTATGTACGTACCTATATACACATACACAAACGTTTGAATACGTGCGCTCCGGCACTCTCTCAATAACAGTTTTTACTAATTCTGTGTTTTGCCTCCGCATTTGCTGAAATATAAAAATATATTTTTATAACATAAACAAAAAAGACAAAACGAAGCATAGAAAATGAAATTGAAAACAAAATTCGCAACAACGAAATAGTGGAGAAAAACAACTTAGCACTGTGTGTATGTATAATATGTACATACATATATAGACGACTATGCTAGTATGTACATACATACATATGCAGAATAAAGCGTAAAAAGAAAATAATCAACAAAAGGTTAGAAAAAGAAAACAAATCGAGTAACGTGTGTTTGTGTGTGTCCTGTTGGATTGCAAAGTTTAATAGATACATACATACATATGTTTAAAACAAAAGACCTGAAGCGAACGGCAGGAATACTTGTGGGCCCAGCACTCAGATCGTATTCATAGTGCAAAAAGTCTAGCAAAAATGTTTATTCTAAATTTCAGCTTTAGTTTAGTTCGATGCATCTGCTGGCGATTTTTATATATGTATTTTTTTTTTTTTTTTTAATTTAAATTTTAAACCATTGTGCATTTAGTAGTGTAAAATCATTGAAAGTATTTTATTTTGTAAACCTCATATTATTAGTAATGCTTTAAATTGATAACTGATAGTGCTTTAAATGCTTTCAGCTTTGCGAAAGTAGGATTCAATTGTAGCTATTGGTGTTGTAAAATCACTGACCGAGTTTACTGCAAAAGTTCAATACTAGCAGTTTTGTAAATGCTGTTAATTTTCAAAGTGTTTTTTTCTTTGATCAATTATTTTAAATTATCGGAATAATCAGATAGTGCTGCAACACACATCTAACACTCATTTTGTATAACATCGGTTAGATATATTTTTGAACACTTTAAGAAGTCATCTAACCCATACTTACATACATATATGGTGCACAAGCAATTGGTTAGATTACATTGAAATTGTAAAATTCCGAAAATTAGTTTTTAAAACAGTTTATTATCTATCAATACACCTGTGCAATAAGTAGCTTAAGAGCTCGAATGCATTTTGTTTATATACATACATATACATACAATATGACAACTGTAACACATATTTAAACGCCTGATTTCGGACGGTTATTTGTTTTCCAGTTCTAAAAAGAGGCATCACGTGACTTAACCTCAAAGTGTAGCCGCCTTTAATTGTCCAAGTGTGTTTTTTTAGCTGTTGTCTAACATTCGCGCTTATTATATAAATGCGAGTTGTTGATTACTAAACAATTCTGTGAAATTGTAAACCACACTATATATGTATATATCTTATATATATGCATACATAGTTGTACATATAGATATACAATGTATATGTGCGATATATGAATAACACAATGGCATACAATGAGCTTTGATGCAATCGCTAACTGCCCACTCATCTACAGATACTTCCCTTTAAATATGAGTATACTTATATGCATACATGTGTATATATGTACATATGTATATGTGTGTAGGTATTTCTATCTCGTAGGTTTACAATCAAGAACTGAGCCATGTATCCCGCCTGCTGTTTTCTTCCTCCAGCCCTCGCATTGACAAACCGCAAAAGTACACAGTACTTTGTGTCTCTCTCTGTGCGTGTGTGTGAGTTCATGCATGTGTATGTAACTGTGTATTTATATCTAAACTTCCAGTCAAGTTGTGCTTGCGTGCTTTGTTTTGGTCTTGTTTGTGCAAGCTGTGAGATTTGAAAAACTTTACGTAACAGTTCAGCATGCGAATATTGAGAGCAACAGGAGGTGGAAGAGAGGTGCTGATAGAGTGGAGCGAGAGGGGAACAGGGAGTGAGTGAGGGCAAAGTCATCTTTACAGTCTTGCGATAATTGCAAAATAATGACGTCATCAATGAGGGGAAGTTAAACTAGAAGGTGAAAATATTACAAATTATTGCAGCTAGTTTGTGTCGATAAAAGACACAAACAAAAATGTGCTTAAAATAAATACAGATTAATTTTTAAAGATCATGAAATTTGTATGCTTTTATATTTCTGTGAACCACTGTGCTTTTGAATAAGTAAACTACCAATTGGGGTACACCCATTTCTGCTTGGGATATTTAATAAAAAGTTCCCATACTGATACTTTGAAAGCCAATTCACTTGAGATAATTCAAGCCAGTCTTAATTAACATCGAATTGTAATCAATAGCGCAGTTAACAAATTCTAGTTTTTCGTCAAACAAAAACAACATGCCAAATACCAAAGAAAGCTGAAAATCGGTAAGCTAACAGACACTCACCCAGAGATACACATGCATACACATACACTTAAACAGAGGGCATATTAAAGCGCAAACACATGGCACGAGTGAAAAGAGAAAACCTAAATACTTGTGTACGATGGCGACGTTGCTGCTGGCGTCAGCGTCGGCGTCGACGCCGTCGACGTCTTCTTCATTGCTGTGGTTGTTATTCAGCAGTGTGTCGAGGTGGCGGTGGCGGTGGCGGGCTGTATGTGTTTCAAGTTCAAGGTTAAGATACTAGTTGTACATGGGACCAGCGGTGCGAGCGAATAGGCAATAGTTGCCACAGCTTTTGCTTGTGTGTGTAAATGTGTGATAAACCAGTTTGGCACGTTTCGCTGCGCAAGCGAGAGACGACGAAGCAGCAGGTCTGAGCGAGAGGACGCACGCCAAAGAGACACAGCGAGAGCGTCAAACAAAGAGGAAGAGGAAGCCAACGAAAAGCACAACCAAAAAGCAATTCGCTACAAACACAACATTTAACGAAAGATAGCGAAAAAAAAAACAGAGCAACAAATTTAAAATCAACGATACGTACGCTTGAATATCTACAGTTGTGCAGTTTCGCTTGTCTAACTGCGTGTGTTTTCATTCACTCTCTGTTTTTGTTCTCTTTCTTCCACTCTCACATTGCTCAAAATAGTTATTAACTTTAAATTTGCCAACCGCATTGCTTTTGACTTCTTTTTAACACTTATTCGCATTTCTATGTGCTTTATAGCACTTCCAATTCAATTTCCATTTAATTATCTATCTGGCTCACTCTCTCTTCAATTGAAATGCTGTTGTAGATTGTCTTTGCCGCTTGCACACTTGCAATCGCAATCGCAATCGCATGCTTTCTTCGCAGCCCCCACCCTACCCCTACGTACGTTACACTTTTATGACAAAAAAAAAAAAAAAAATAAAAAAAAAAAAAAAAAGAACTGTTAGCTCTTCATTTAATTATATGCCTGGCGCCGAATCGGCTTAATGGATTTTTAGCTTACGAAATTTGACACAAAAACAAAAGCCAAATCAATTTTATGAACATTTCCTCCGCATTACAAAAAAAGTGCACTGCTCAAAATTACCAAGGTTAATTTACTAAAAAAAAATTGAATTTTATATTTGAATTCAATTTGCATAGTTTCCGAGTTCGTTGCACCGCAGCAATTTTAATATTCACAAAGTCCTTGGCGTGGCATTATAAAATGCAATCCAAAATCAAATATGCAAAATTTCTTATTTCAACAAATATATTTCAACCATTCATTGAATAGATTGCTAAAAAATAAAAAATTCTAATAATTACTAGGAATGCTATAATGTATATATATATAATAAATAATAATTAAATCGTATATATCCATTTTATAATTTGCAATGAAAATGAACATAACATTCTAGATATATTTAGCATATAAATGTAACCTTAAAGTTTAAGATAGTAAATATTAAAAACTAATATGAATGCTGCAAGCTTTTACAATTCAAGACAAGACAACTAAATATGCAAGCGCAAATTCTGAAGAAAACTACAATTTAAACAAATTTCATTCATAATTTATTAGTATATTTGACTTCACAGATAATATCATATATGTATGTATATGTGTACATATAAGATTGTATTTTATATAGAAATTTAGATTTTATTTCACTGTGAACAAGAATGTGAAATCCGTTGAGAGTGACCTTCATTTTGTATATTGTAACACATTCTCATACCCTACAAACATTTGTATATATGTATGTATGTATATATATACCCCATATTCGTATTTATGTATGTATTTGAATTCCCATAGACGGTTGCCAAGTGTGAAATTTGCACGTGTGCCGCCACATAAATAAAATGCAAATATTTTTGGGTCTTCAAACGAAATAAACAAATTTTCAAATATGACACAAACGAATGCTGAATGCCCTAACAAATGTAGATACACACATACATACATACATGGCTGAAAGAGTGAATAAATTTATAAATAAGTGTATCACAACTGGTATCGATTAATTTTGATGTGACAAGTGTTTATATTAAAGAAAAGTGAATTTTATAAGACGTTGTAGAAGAGTATGCAACTGGTAGGCGAATCAGATGCCCAGTCACTCACATCCACTCTCATCACCAAATTTTTGATTATTGTTTTTTTATTCTTTTGACTGCCTCCTGCAATTTTCGTTAAGTTAATATTTACCTATGGAATTTCAAACAAAATCTCATTTTGTATATTTATTTTTAGTGTGCCAGCTTCAGCATGGAAATTTAATTAGCGACACCCGAGTGAACCAGCTACAACAACATCAATGATAGCAAACACACACACACTCTACATAGAGATACGCCTACACATAATGGAGGACAAAAAGGGCCAGCGAAGTAAAAGTAAACAAATAATACCAAAAAAAAAAAAAGGGAAAAAATTAAGAAAAATAAATCATGCGAGCAGAAGAAGAAGAGCTACAAAATGTGTTCAGCTTTCGCATGACGCCAGCAAACAGCAGCGACTGCGACAGCGACCGAGGCAGAGCCAGCAAATGGTAAACAGCAATAGCAGCAGCAATAAAGGAAGGAACAATGAAAATGCAGCAGCAGAGAGTCGTCGCCTAGCCAGCCCTCCCTTGCCCACTGTTGCTGCTGCAACTGACGTTGGCGCGCTGTGTGTGCGAGCGAGCGGACAAACAAAAATGGCGCATGACATGCGCACTGAGCAAGCGGCTAACTTGAACTTGAAAATGTTTTTATTGTTGCGCTTGTCGTCATCGAAGGTTGTGTGTGTGTTCCATTTAATATGACGCGACTGCGACACCAGCAGAGCACAGAGAGCAGCGCAAAGCCGGCAACTAACAAAAAAAGAGTGGAAAGCAACGAAGAGAGACTGGGACAGAGACACAACGAGCGGGAGACGCAGAGAGTAAGAGAGCGCAGCGAGGGCGTAAGCAAGAGTGAGCACGCTGCTAGGCTAAGCTTGCTAGCAGCAGGTATGTATATATGTATGGATATGTGTGTGTGTGTATATATGTATGCATATATGTCTGCACCATGTGAGAGGTAAATAAGTCAATGTGAAAAGAAAAACAAAAACAAACGACGAAGTGAGAGAATGCGAAAGCTTTTTATTATAGCTTTTGCGTGGGTGACTTAAAGCAGCGCAGTTGCGTCGCTGCCGACGTCTGACAACTGTTTGCTTTTGTTGTATGCCCCATAGCCAGCTGCCCGAAACTTTCTCTTTCGCTGCGTCAATGTGTGTGCATGTGTATATGCGTGTGTGGGCGTGTGAGTGAATAATGCTGTTGCATATTTACTGGGATACAATGACGCGCACCTGTGCGAACACAGCTGCAGCCAACAGGATGCTGTTGCGGCTGCGATGCCTAGTTGCCAGCCCGTCACACAGTTATTCAGTTCTTCAGTGGTTCAGTGTCGAACGCACTCCCGTCGAGGTCAGGCAGCTACGAAACGAAGCACAGTTGCCATACATGCATACATACATACATACATGCATACATATAAATAAATAACTATCTATATAGATAAGTTAGTATGTCTGTGTGGAATTGCTATATGAGTGGGTTAATTGTGTGACGCGTTGCTCGAAGTAAAAGAAGCAGACAAAAAAAAAAAAAACAATTTGAAAACCAAAAATAACATTCAGGTGTGGAAAAATTGATTAGCAGCTAAAAATATAAATGTGTGTGTGCGTGTGTCAGCGTGTTTCTGTGTGAATTTTTCTGTACTGTGTATGCGATTTTCCTTCATAATTTTTAATGTTTTCCTAGCATATGGAAAGCAAATTCTGAATAATGTATGCGGTGCACACACACATATATATAGACACGCACACACACACACTCTGAGTCTTAGCTCATACTGCGCCTTGGCATATGCAACACATTTTGGTCTTGTATTTATTACGCTTTGACCTTTTCATATACACACACATACACAAACGCACACACACGCCCTTAGCACACGATGCGATGCGTAAGCAAAAGCAGCTTTTCTATTATTTACTATGCAACTTACATATAAAGTTAACTACATATATATGAATGTATGTAGATATATTGTGTATGTATGTAATTATGTATGTTTGTTTTTTACATTAAACGGGCAGATGGCAAAAAATTTAAATCATTAAAGGCAAAACAATAAAAAGAAAATGTTTCTATTTTGAAATACAGTAAGAGCTCTTTAAACCGGGCACCTGAGGAATATTTGTGCCTTAATGCGATGTGGCTAGAATAAAATAATATTAGAAAGCATGTTACAAAAAAATATTTAAATACAAAAAATAAATATATTTTTATTTAGATTTTGAAATTTAAAAATATTTATTAACAAAAGAATTTTATACATTTTTTTATCAAAATAAAAAAAGTTTGTGAATAAAACAGGAGTATAGAATAATAAAAAGAATAGATAAAATTTAAAAGATGTTCATATAGAGGAGGGTTTAGGGATTTATGTATATAGTGCATCGTATACTGTGAAGTATATAGAGAAGAGTGTATAAACCAGGTTTATATAGATTAGATGGATATAGATTAGGGCTTTACCTGTATATATAAACAAAGATGAATATGAGCTAAGTAATTTAGATAAATCAATGTTAGTTTACCTAAGAATTGACTTATTTAAAAACTACCAAATTCTGTTAAAAATTAAATTCAAGCTTCAATCAAGAGAAATATTTCAAAATCTATCTTTAACAACATATAAACATATTTGAATCGAATTTTCGGAACCTTTTGTTGCTTAGTGTAAAGTGAATTGTGAAATTCAAATTGATGTGAAGCAGTCAGTGAAAAATGCAGTGTAAAATAAGTGAAAAAGTACGTAGTATAAATAACAATAACAGCTACATCTAAAACTATAACAACAAAGCACGACTGCAACTGAATTGAACAATGGCAGCTGGTTTGTGTCTTCGCTAAGCTTTTTCATCTGAGTAAGCTTTCTCTCTGTGCAATTGCCGCTGGGATACACCCTGTGCTCGCTTTGAGTTTATGTTGCAAGTGAACACAGCTGGTGGTATCCAGAGGCCGTTGACAGCCAATGCAACAACAGCAACAACCACTACAACAACGACGACGACAGCAACATCAACAACAGGCACAGGGTGAGTAGCGCTTCAAGTTGATCGAAGGTGTTGGATTTTCTTTGCAAGTCTCCAAAGTTTTATCATTGTTTTTAATTTAAAGTGATATTTATTCCTAATTATCTTTTAATTTAACTTTGTTTTCAATTCATTTGACCATACTAAATATTTCTTAGCCATAAGCTTTCTTTAATGAATTTTCATTTCTCTACCCCACGGAAAAACCAAATGAAAAACGAAAAATTATGTAAAGAAAATTCAATCGAATGTTGCCCAAATTCAAACATTGCGAAAATTTGTGCAAAATAATTTTAAGAAATTGATTAAGAAATAATTGAATTAAAACAAAAATTGCATATTATATTATATTATTCAGCATTTACTTCTTGTTCGTACACATCTTGATATTCGACAAACCAATTTTAATTTTTAGTTCTCAATTTCTCGATTGTAGCAAACCAAAACGTAACATCAATACGCATTTTTTCCACTATTTCGTACTCATCAAGCCTCTCAGCTGGAGGCGTGGCACAGAGAAGTGCGCTTGAATGCGCTGAAAGCGAAAGAAACGCTCTGAAAAATTTTCGATTAAAATGTAATTATGCCAGTCAAAGAGTTTTCAGTATTAATGCGAGTGAAATTGTGATACCTTGTATCAATTATGAATGATAGAATGGTGGGGTATAATGGGCTGATTGGAATAAGGTGGGAAATCTAATAGTATACCTTTTTCATTCAAGGCAAATCGATAAATGTGAATCTTGAGTTTCGCAGACCTGTGAGAAAGTTAGCAGTTACAGCTGTCTTTATAAACATACCCTATGTAAATTATTAATATATGAATAACTTATTCATTTTAAACAAATCGACATATATCGATTTCAATATCATTTATGGTAAATATTGAATAACTTCTTCATATAAGTCAAATCGATAAAAATCATTTGGCCAAACTCTCAGATTAGAAAGCATAAAGCCTGTTCCGATAAGGAATATAAGCATACCTAAGTGAATTAATCATAAGTACTGAAGAAGTCCTATAATCGAAAATCTGATAAATCGATTGCTATCGATATAAATTTTGCTTTTTGCTATATCTCGAGAATTAAAATACTTATACTAATATAATTTGATAGGCAGACTTTGATATAGCAATATCAATATGATCAATATGACAAACTATTTTTCGTCGAATACCGTCGATATCAGACTGAACGGGTGTGCACAACTGGTTACACACCCTTCACCCCGCAATTTTATTTAATTAATATACAATTGAAGCTCTAAATAAATTCAGCTAAAGGGCATCTGTTGCCTGATCAAACTGTTGCTTGGCAATGCTTAACTTTTTCCTTGAAGTTGGCCAAAACAATTAAAAGAAATTTTTGTTCATGCTGCAATTCGAATTGGTTTCAAAGAAAATCTCGCGTGCAACGCAAAAATTTTCTATTTTCGTTTCGCTTTGGCTGTGGTTTGCTGTTTGTGCCGCTTTTTCGACTTTTTGGCTCATTGACAGCACGGTCAAAGAGAGGGGTAAGACACTGAGTGGGAGAGGGACCTTAAGGGGCGCAGCGGTGGGCAGAGGAAGTGCCGCTGCAAAGTGTGGCAAAGTCGTTTGACATTATTTCGACATTTATTTGCATTTAGCTGCATTTTTGTCACTTTTGCATTTCAAATGACCCTCAATTATCCTTTGTTGACTGACTCTGTAGATTGCCGTCGCTTTGCTGCTGACCCAGAGGTCAAGGAAAGTGAAATTGATTTTAGCCGCACATGTTACCCTTTAGCATATATGTATATGTCGAGTAATTCGTATGGCTTATGTAAGCAGAAAAGAGTCTCACAATGCATCACCTGATTGCCGTAGCTATATATGCGCATATGTATGTATATATGTATATCTGTTTTATATAATTGATATATCTCTTATGCGCTGCTAATTCATCAAAGTTCGAGCCATTAAGTGAGCTCATCGGGGGCTATGATTTTTTTATTTATTTTTTTTTTGAATGATGAAATCAACTGCGACTTATATATTGCAATGTTTTGTTAATATAAAAAAGAGGGGAAAATGTGGAATATCTAAGTGTGCTTATAGATATACATGAATATACATGTATAGTGCATAGAGTATATAGTTGGCACTTGAAATTGTTTTGAAACCAGTTTGTAATTTAGTTAGAATTCAAGGTTACGAAATAGTCTTTAAATATTCCTCATAATTGAGCATTGATTTTATCAATTCCTTTTTGTATATCATTCGTAAACTTTTTACTGGTTTTAAGAATGTGAGAAAACTAATTGATTTATAGAAATACTTCTAATTATTTCTCCGTTTCTTTTTCTAATAAATAGATTGGCTTTCATTTGTGATTTTAAAACATAAATATCGTTACTTTTTACTCTAGCTTAGCTAGAATTCTATCAAAATGTTAGGCAGAGGATAAGATAGGTATTATAAACAATAGATAATCTATATAAAGTTCAAAGATTATATATATTTTTTTTAATTGAGAGCTACACAATATATATGAAATGTTATTTGGTTATACTATATGGAGATCTGTTATATATACATATATTTTATACATGTATGTATATGTAGGAACGTATATCTGTCTATATATTTTGTCAAAAGTAACTCTAAATAATGACACGAAATGGTTTTAGTCATGCACGACGAGATTTACTGCGATAGTAGCAGCGAGCGCAGAGTGTATATAGTATATATATATATGTACGTACAAATATATAACGCTTAATTTTCAATTTAAGTTGACCTTAGAACAAAATTTGATCGATAATTTCGCATAATTGCGGAATGTGCACGTGTACAGGGTGATTCGTGTAGCAAGTGTGACACATGGTAATCCGCCTTCACGCACACACACACACACACACACACACTGGTAAATCACCTTGAACATTAACGCCCAATGCAAAATGCAACTGACATGAGACAATTTTGGTGAGCGAGCGAGATAGCAATATCCATAGCTATTCACCATGTAGAGGGCGTAAAGACAGCGACGTCGGCGTCATTTCAAACGTGAGAGACAGCTTGTACACACACATACACACATGCAAACAAATAGTTTTGTGTGGCATGAGCAGTAGCCCGTACCTACTACATTTGCGTCATGCGAACAAAGTTGTTAAAAAAAAAACAAACTTAAAAGTAAAGCAGCAAAAACAACAACAACGGCAAATTCAAATGCAGGCGGCGACAGAGCTGCAAAGCGAAGCGAAAGCTTCAGCTGTGCTGTTTCCTGTTGTTACAAGTGTGTGTGTGTGTAAAAAGCTCTCTGACGCTCGGCTGCTCTCTTCATTTAGCGCTGCTCAGTTAGCTTTTCTTCGCGAGCGCTGAGCAGCTGACAGTTGCGCTTCAGCATTAGAGCAGCGTAGTTTGTAGTTTACTTTGCGCCGAACGAAATGAAAAGTTTTTGCGGAACTGTGCTCAAGTGTGTTAATGTGGTGCTGTGTGCGCTGTTGTTTTGTGTGTGTGTTGGATGTTGGGGTGTTGTGCCACCTTGCTGCAGTTGCTGCCATTGCAGCGAGAGAGAGCAAGTGAGCGTAGCTCGTACAGAAATAAATGCCACGGCGTTTAGTATATTTCACCTTTGCAAGTCTTTGTAGATGCCCGCGCGCCAACTCACTCCACTCGCACATGCAAACACAAGCACACACTAACATTTATATACTTCTGTATGTGTGCCTGGCTACATTTGCTGCAAGTTTCATTCACGCCGCGTGGCCATCGAAATTTTTGTCGTCGCGTCGCGGTACACAAAGAAATTGGCCTAAAATTGTAACAGTTTCTTTTGCGACAACAGCAACAACAAGAGCACGACGCAGAAGAACAACAAAACGGCATTGCAGTCACGCTGTCGCTGTCGCTACCGCAGCTGCAGTCAGCGCTGGCAGCGCTGCCTGTGCTGGCTGCCAGTTGCCGTATGCTTTCAGCTGCAACGGCCAACGTCGGCAGTCGTCAGTTTTAATTTCCACATCGAGTTAACAACATCACGAAGCGGCGGCAGCAGTAGCCACAACGGCAGCAGCAGCAGCTGTGCTTTTTGGACTTGGATTAGGCGACCAGCAGCAGCAGCAGCAGCAACAACAGCAATCGCAGCAGCAGCCGCTCTACTTGCAACGTATTGTTATTCTGTTATAACCAAAA